TTGATGGGAGAAAAGTTTTGTTTGTTTGATTAATCGGAGAATTAACCCTTAAACTTGCAAATAAATGTCCTTGTTGTACTGGAGCACTGTGCGAATAACGCAAGAAATCTGATGATGATAATTACAATTATATTTCGAAGTAACGTTTTTTTTTTTTAATGAATGCGAGACTGCAAGAGTTTCTTGTGTCAAGATGACTGCATCCGCACTTGACTTAAGAATCTTTGTTATCTGTAGTAAATGCAATTGATGAAGTGTCTGCATGAATAAGTAAAGCGATAAAGAGTTGCAATAAGTAAAAAAAATTATTATTATTATTATTATTATTAGACCACTTAATATTTCAAAATTTAATATTTATATTGTATTACATTTTCTTGTTATTGTAGTCGTAATTGATTCGATGGTCACGCAAATATTGTTAAAAATAAAATGTTAATTTTAACAAACAAAAATAATTAAAAGACTTTCAATCTTAAAATGCAATAAACGTAGCATTAAAAGCAAGCTAATGAGAATCAGCCTAGATATGTGAGTGCAAAATTTTTTGATCGAAAATAATTATTCAAACGATTGTATGATGTCTCCTTTATTATATTTGAACGTTTCCGACTCTTTTTAGAGTCCTCCTCAGCAATATATTAAAAAAGACGAAAGTCACCCATCTATTGGGAGCAAGTTATTCACAGATTGACAAAACTGATGTTAATTTTGACATTTTTGCATGTTTCAGAAAGTCTACTTTTTGATATTACTCTCTAAATCTGTGATATCACTGATATCAGTGCCATTGGTAATCAGTAAATTAAATGTGAAATCCCTAACTTAGCTAATCTTTATTAGGTAATCTAAACTCGTTTTAGTACTTAAATTCAATGAATATGATATTGGAAGATTAAAATTAACGTGCAAATCTGCATTTTAGTTATATATAATGCTCAAACATTCTTTTTTTAGTTGAACTTCACTAATGATCAGCAAGTATGCCACTGAATAATTAGTGACTATCCACTGAGTCAAAGATTTGACATTTTATTTTGAACAGTGTATACAAAATTAATCATTTAATAGTTACGTGTGTCGAAACTAAACGAATTAATTACATTCAACAAATCGGACCTCATACTACATGAATCCAGACGTTCTAGATGAAACAGATTAGGAATACGTGCGCGCTAATCTTAACACAGATATGTGTTGCTCCGTGCCATTAGTATTCTCGTGTTTAATTTCTATTTAAAGTTTCATGCTCAAAGTTTCGAGATTGTAGCAACTACGTCATGTAGTAATAATGCATACCGATGCAGAAGCATACGCACACAAACCCGCCGACATTCGCATCGCGCGCCTGTTAATGCGAATACGAAAGTCCCGAAGTTCCTTCTCGAGGAGTTTAAAACTATGCGTACTTACATTGTTGGACTTTAAAGCGGCGGGGTGTGAAAAAGCCGCGCAAAGATTAGACGATGAATAAACGGTCGTTAAATGCCCGATATGAAATTCACGAGGGGACGGAGGAGATCGGCACTTGGCTCGCCGCTGCTAATACCGCTTTACGGGATTTAAGCTCGAGGTATCAAGAAGACGCGCGATGGTGACGAAATTAATTGATAATGTGTGACATAAGGTGCATTAGTGGGACGCGCATCTTGAAAGCGTTCCGTGCAACATTACCGATATCGTAAACTAAAATCTTGCGAAGACGCTTCTATCTCTATCTCTCTGGTTTTTTTTTTTTTGCATCACGCCTCCTATCGTATTCCGATGCATAATACATAAACTCCCGTTGACCGTGGAACATACTAATCCTCGTAATCCTCGCTCGATGCATGCTTTGCATCCGGACGAGTTTGCGATTTAATGCGTGTCGCATGATGCGCGGATTGCATTTTTTATGAATGCGCTATACTTGCTTCTTCTTCTCGAAATAGCGATTCTCGGATTAACGCATCGGAAGCACAGTGCATTCTGTTTATTCGATCAATCGCGCAACTGCCTCGTACATACCGTGCACCATAAAATCCTTTCTGCATCCTGCAACCTAATAATAAACGTTGTCTCTCTGTCTCTCTCTCTCTCTCTCTCTCTCTCTCTCTCTCTTTCACTTCATTCCATTCGCTGTGTATAGCTCGTTGCAAGCTTGGAAATGATATCACGAGCAGAGTCAAAGAAAAAAAATGATGGCAGCGATACGAAGAATGACGGAGAGAAGCTATTGTAGATTGTTCTTTTCCTACCTTTTTTAACTCGATTCTCGTTTCGTTCTCTTTCCTTTCTCTCTTTCTTATGCTTAACATTATTTATTATTTAAAATGTTACAATAACTTATTGACTAGTTTCTCTCATTAATTTTATTTGTTGTCTAATAATATTTTTCACTAATAAATAATTTCTTTATATTATTGCTTTTAATCGTTAATACATTCATGTATTTATTAATTTTTTAATTATTATCTTATACCGATATCCGTTTTCGATAAGTTCCTTGCATTATTCCACACAATTTTATATTCACCGTTCTATATCGCATTTTGTGAATTTAGGTCTTTTCACCAGCAATGTAAACGTATTCGCCTTTCTTGTTGAATCAATACTATCACAAAAGGAAATTCTATATATAGACCCATCCACCAGTAAGTTATCTGTTGGTGAAACCGGGCATTAGGA